ACATATCCCGGGCTCATAACCTGTTAAAACGACTGATTTGATTGATTCGAAGGAGAGGTGGGATATTCCCGACTATTATACAGAAAAGAACCAGCCACTGTTTGATCAAGCTCACGCGGCTTCACTTGCCGCCTCACCCGCCACACTATCGGTTGACAAGCTATCCGGCATTTACTATCCCCAATATGGAAGGATGCTCCAACAGGGGTACTGCTTATGCATCCGAGTGAGGATTGGTGAAGAAGTAGTCTTTCCACTGTCTGGCATGAAGGGGAGGGGGTTGACGGTGTGCAAGTGGGAGGGGGGGGGAGGGCTATTCAATCATGTGCACTAGTATCATACATGAGGGGTAGTTTCCCGACTTATGATATGATACTTGAATGTTTCCAACTTCCGTGCCTTAGGCCCTCGCGAACGGACCTCGGCCAGTTGAATCCCCACTCTTGCTGTGATGGTCTGGCTGCACTGGCATCGCCATGCAATTTATGATACGGTAGAGCGAGCGTGATTCTGCCCTCCCCTCCCCTCCCCTCCCCTGTTGATTCATACGATAGTGTTTCGTTGCTATTTTTTCCTTCTCGGTATCACAGCTGCCCGCTGACCGAAGGGTGGTTCTCTTTTTTTTCTTTTTTTTTCCTAGTCACCTCACCCGTGCACTTCCGCTTTGTGGGTATGATAACTTGGGTGATTATGTACGATGACACCGTATAAATACCATCGCAGCATATGCAATCCTGAGAGCACTTGCACCATCGCTCGAGATAGTGCCTGTAGTCGAATCCCCGAGTCACGGAGAGCATATAAAATACATGTGAGTATAGATAGGGAGGAAGAGGGAAGGAAAGGAAAAGAAAAGGTTGGGCGTGGCCTTGGACGCAAGTCTTGAAACGCATTCACGGTTCCCAAGTTTTAAGTCTCTGTTCTACGATACCGTCGGAAGGAGGTGTTTGGGTCTCACAGGCATAACAGCAGATGCTACGATATGACACATCCCCCCCCACCCCTTATCCGGACGTCGGACACCCTCACGGGTTCGGGATTCGGAGAGGTTTTGATGTTCTGAAACTGGGGAAACGGTAGGCCGGTTACCATACCGTCTGTCTGGTGGGTTCCCGTGGGGCCATCCATGGCCTCGACAATAACCTCGGCGATGGGGGGGATATCGCGTCAATTTGAGGTATCACACTTTACCGACACGTGAATAGGAAAGGGAAAAAGAAAAGAAAGAAAAAAAAAACACTCCGTGTCGCATGTTGCATGCCTCGAACACTTTCGCAGGTAAAAACGAACGGTACGGGTTTCTGAGTGATCCATCGTGAATACCGACCGGTACTGTACTGTACTGTACTGTACTCCGGGGGGGGGAGGGGAGGAGGGGTTAGGTCAGAACCGATTTCCGAGCCATGTGTTATTACTGTGTATGATAGTATGGTAGGTTGATATTCTATCATACTTGGGATTCGTCGATACCGGTGGACTCGCCCGCCGGCGGATATGAGGGTCATAATCGGGAAGGGTGTGAAGTGGGGGAGTTGGCTCCCGTTTTTACCCACCACGGTACGGTATTCGTGAATTGACTTTATTATTATTATTATTATTATTATGTCCGAGAGATCGATCCTCCGAGAGCTAAATCCCACCCACCTACCCATTTGAGACAATACGACCAGAACCATTTCCGAGGTTGTCAAATTTACCTATGATATGATTGCATCGCATGTGCATAAATAAATTTGGTTATTCTTTGCGGGCATGATATTCATTTTCTCAAGTCATGAGTACAGTACAGTACCGTATGATGAATTAAAGCACTACCATACTGTACTATACGTGTGCGCATGTATTATTATTATGATTATTTGTGCCACAAATCATGACACCGTTTACCGTCAGTATCATAAACTCGCAAAAAATACCCGGAAGCGGATGATACTTGTATCATAACTCACTTGCGAGCCCAGCCATTAAGTTAGACTCCTGGACGGTATGATAATTATGATGATAATATACTCGAGTACCGGTATACTCACCATATGACTGTGCTTACCGGTACTTATCGCCAACTTGGATCTATGATGCTATAGCACACTGCATAGCATAATTAGACGGACAGACCGAAAAAGAAAGGAAAGGAAGGGAAGGTACCGGTAAGGGAAGCAAAGTTTAAGGTTTAGTCCTACAAATCCCCGAGCATTCTGCAAGAATTCCTCCGCAAGAACCTAGTACCCAGCAGCGTGCATATCATACCCGTCACAAGTAATAGTATAATACAAGCAAAGCATGTCACACTCCTATGAATACAAATACAAATAACGAAAAGAAAAAAAAAACCCCCCTCTAAAACCCGGCGCGGGGATTCAAATCCTTTTCAATTTCTCCATCACTGCCCACTGCGCACTCTGCACTAAGCGTCAAGACAGGACAGGACAGGACAACGCCCAAGCGCCCATCGTACGAGTACAGCCTGGACCATGCGAATATCGTATACGTACTATATAACCGGTGCAGTACTGTACTCGTACAGTACACCCACGCCACACCCCGCCGACAGGCAGACAGACTACGAGTACGATGGGTAAATGGTCGCGCGACCCGATAGGAACGGTTACCATACTGTACGAGTACTTGTACAGTACAGTACCGTGGAGCAGAGGCCAAGATGTTATCCGCGCGCTCGCGTCGTTGGAGGCTATGATATTGTATTTTGATACCGCCATGTTTATCCGTGAGATTTTACCGTTAACTTACCCTACAGTGCCGGATATATCCTGGCGCCTCCTGAAACACGGTTTTTGCATGCAGGAACGGTTTTACTACTTATGACGTCTCGTATGGTGAGTGAGTGCAGCGGCGGTGGCAGGGCTGAGGCGCTGTACTGTACTCGAGTACGGGTACGGTAGGGTTTGGTTTGGTTTGGTTTGGTTTGGTTCCGGCAGGGGTTGCCCGCGCCCCGCTTGTGATACATGGGTCACAGTTGTGGTGGGTGGGTGGGGGGAATTATTGATTTATTGATTGATTGCTGCGATGGTATGATATGATAATATTATGATACCGGTATGTCATGGCTGTGCGTGTGTGGTATGGTGCAGTGAGAGGGATATGCGATGTTGGTTGTTTAAAGAAGGGGAATGGATGAATGAATCAATGAATGAAAATGTAATATTTGTTGACAAGTATTGTACAAGAAGGGAATGAAATGAGTGGAGGAAAGGTGGGGGGGAATAATAATAATAGTAAAAAAAAAAACATGGTTTGCTCCGTTCCGTGTTCACCGTTCCGTTTGAAAAATGGGAATGAAAAGAAATTAAGGATGCTATGATATGATACTGTTATGGTGCCTTGTGAATGGATGCCTGACTGCCCTGCCCTGCCTTAGTTCTAGTTGGCAGAAAGGAAATTGAGAAATGGTATGATATAAAAGTTATTTGTGATGATGAAAGTTAGGCACGGGGGGGAGGTTAATGTTGCGATGGGAAGGAAGAGAAGAAGAGGAAGAGGGGCAGATTATGTCAAAGATTGTGTTTCGCTTTACTTCGTTCAGACATCTCCTGCGTCTGGATTTTCTTTCCTTCTTTCCTTTTCCGTTTTACGGTAATCGTCGTGTATGAATTGAGTTGAGGGAGTTCACATGAACGCCAGCCTTGTCCTCCTCCGCTCCATGCTCGCCGGACTCTTGTTCACACTCAGGTTCCCGTTCTCATTCCCATTCCCGTTCCCGTTCCCGCTCCCGCTTTGCATCCCCCGCATTGTCCGGAGAGCATGTCGTTCGCAATATGGTCGTCCGTTGAAGTCAAAGTAATCACCGCTGAGTTCGCATCGGCAGTCCTGTGCAAAATTAGTCCACGTTCTCCCCCACACACATACACCCGTAAGCATTCAAATATCGCAGGAGGGGGGAAACATACATAACATCTGAAACAATTCGGGTGAAACCTCTCGTTCGTCGCCGTCTCCAAGCACGGCCCCTCGATCCCCCTATCGCAGGAGGGGCACAGTGAATGGTTCAGCTTGTGGTAGTCTCGATGGCAATAGGGCGAATTATCCAATACGTAGAACTCGGCCGACTGGAACGGTTCTCGGCAGCCCTTGCAGACGAAGCAGGCTTTGTGGTACCGGCCCGTTAGTCGCCCATCGGCGGAGGAGACGGATTTTCCGACTATGGCTTTGCCGCAGCCCCTGCAGTTGCCTTTTAATGTGGTTGCTCGCCTTTTTATGGGCGCCGGTGCGGGTTCGACTGCCGGTGGTTGGGTCCTCGGTGGCGATTGGGATGGTGCGGGCGGAAGGGCTCGCGGATTCTTGTCCTTTGGAGGCGGCGGTGAGGGTAGTGGTAGGTCGGGGACGGGGAGGGGTTTTTCGTAGTCGATTGGGGATGCTGATGACGAGGGTTGGCGGGGGTGGGGGTGGTGGGGTTTCAATGGCGGGGGCGCTGCTCGCTCGTGGGATGAAATTCGAGGTTTATCTCGGGGCCGGTCTTCGATTGGGTGTTTTGGCTTCACGGTGCTGGGTTGGAGTCCTTGCATTGAGCTTTGCAGTTCTTTCATCAAGCCGTCAATGTCGCTCAGCCCATTGCTGTCTTTTGACCGGCCACGGCTCCCCCGTGAGGGTTTGGGGGGGAGTTTGGGGACTTGGGTGGTCTCGGGGATTGGCGGACTGGACACGGAACTGTGGGAGCTCTTGGAATTGCGGGAGAAGATGGAGGAAGCATTGCTTGACATGGAGGGGCTTGGAATGTGGGACGTGGATTGTCCTGCTGGAGGTTCCAGATTATAGGGATTTCCTAACGAATAGTGGCTGTATTCGTCTGCTCTTGGTGGAGATAGTCGGTGCAGTGTTGGGGGCTTGGAGCCGGACCGTCTATCCAATCCACCAGATGACATTGTGTTGACTCCAACAGAGGGCTGTCGTCGGACTGGTTGGTCTTTTGTTGGCAGCGGAGGTGGTAAGTTGTCCTCTGGCGGAGGCGGAAGTCCTTTAGCCATATTTGCCGAAGACTTGTTCCGTCTATGGTTCTTCACCGTTACGGAAGGAGACCTGGGCAATCCCAATCCGGGATGCGGGGGCTGCCTGCCACCGGGTGACTTAGAATCGCTCTTGACGGGAAACGTGTGCGATCTTGTGTCCAATCTCAAAGCATTCATTTTGGGAATTGACGGTGCAGTTTCTGACTTCATAGAACGATGGGTGTATGGAGATACTGGGTCCACTGGTGATCCCCCCCCCTTTCTCCTCGGGGCGCTGTGAGGGGGGGGTGAAGGGACTCGAGGGAGATTATGCTCCTTTCTACGTATCCTCGCCTCTGCCCCTCCTGGTGATTTTGACCTTCCATGTCGTGATGGGGGTCTGGCTGGTCGTTCAGCGTTGGAAGTTTGCCTTTGTTCCCTCTCCTTCCCGTGCTCCCATGATTCCCTCCCAGCCTCTCGACTCCTTCCCATAGTTTGCGAGTCCATGGAATGACCGCCGGTAGGAGTTCGTTTACGCCTGGCCCCTACTTCCTCCTTATCTGGAAATGAAGCCGCGACAGCAGGCAGCGTCTCTGAATCCCTACCCTTCGGCGCCCTACCCGGCCTTTTCTCTAAAGGATTCCCAGCAAACGATGCCATTTCAGGTGTCCGCTCCCTGCTAGAGTTACCAGAACCTACTCCGAACGGGCCAGGCGCGATGTTGTTCATCCGCACCGCCACGGCCCTGCTGCCATCGGACAGTGGGGAAACCGGGGCATACAGGTCACAGTTAGGATAAAAACTACTAGTGGTCGCCGCGGCGCCCGGCGGTGTGCATGGGCTCACCGGGGAAACGTTTGCCGGTTTAAAAAGGGCAAAGGGCGATTCTATATTATAGCTTGGAGATGACGAAGAATCCTTCCTAGGCTGATGATGACTCCGGGGTTGTGGGTTCGGTGAGAGTGAGCCGTGATGAAGCGGTGTTCGGAGTGGTTGACCGTCTTGTGGTGTGGCGGGCGAGTGTGCTCGGGATCCGGGGGAGCTGCTTGTTGGGCTGACTTGGCCGCGAAAGGGCCGGTCTGTTTTATTTGTGTATCTGTTAGAACTTGTAGATCCTCCATTGTGGAGTGCTGCCACGCTGTAGCGGTTGTATACATACTTGCTGCAAAAGGGTCGATCTTTATATGGCCCATCGGTTTCTGCGCCTGAGAGCCTTTCGCCGGCTTTGGCTTGAGCAATGGGAAATCGTCAAGCTTTGATTCTGCAAAGTATTAGCCATCAATCCCCCCGAGGACTTCATGAAAATCAAGTGAAAGACGTGAGCGTAAAAAGCTCCCCGCACTTTCGCTGGTTCGGTTTCCTATTACCTTCTGCTGCAGACATACAGGCATGATCCCCCATTAAGGAAATCTCGACATCCGCATTGCACAGCGAACATTTTATGGTAGAGAAAAGACTCTCTCTGACTCCAGCCATATTTTCTCTCCCTCTTGCGACCAGTTAAAGGTCAGGATAGCGTTGCGACGATCGTAGTGATGGTGGTGGTGGTGGTAGAAGTGGTAGAAGTGGTAGTGATGGTAGGGCCTTCCCCCAAAGAGGCTACTAGAAATTCGTGAAAAGAGAAATAGATTGGCGAGACTTTGTGCTCGAAAGAGACATCCAGCGTCTTTATAGTATGGGCTTGCTTGTTAGCGCGCCGTGGGTATTGTCGTGGTAAGGAAATGTAACGAGCGTGAGCCTTTTCAAGATTGTATGGTTGAAAGGATGCGCCTAGGACCTGCGCTGTGGCTATCTGTATTCAAGACTGTTCCAGTATTTGGGCGCCTAGCATCCAGGAATGTTCTGTGTCTCTTCGGGTGGGAAGTGGGTCAAGGCGGAGGAGAAGGTTGAGAATGGAACAAGGTCAGTCAGTCAGTTACTTGTTCCTGCGCCGGGCCCAAACTTGGACACAATATTCTCGTACTTGCTGGAGGTATGTCGAAGAAGGTGTTGAGGGTCGGAAGAAGGAAGGAAGGATGGCAGGCTCTCTAGGGACGAGCGCCAAAAAACACAGGGAACGATCACACAACTGAAGCAAGGTGGTGGTGGGTGGGGGGGGGGGGGTGGATGTTTTGTATGCACCGTACCTATCTGTCTGCATACAAGTACTCGTACAATGCGGGAGGTGCAGAAATTTTGTTTCTTCTGGCAGCTCGCCTCACCCTGACCCAGCTCTCCGTTCCCAAACGGGAATACTTGACTGAGGAGTGGCTCCTTGCCATTCTTTTTTTGCACTACCCGAGAGCTTTAGCGACAGAGATGATATAAATTTGGGTTGCTCTCCGACCAATGTGAAACCCAAAGGGGAAGATGGTGGAGGCAACCGGCGTGAGAGAAATAAGGGAAAAGAGCGACAAACCCTTTTCCGCCTCCCCGTCGAGTTAGGATTATCTTAATACGGTACAACCGGTACCCTCTTCTTCCCTTCTCTTTAGCAATGTTCCTAATACTTAAATTTACGGTTAACTCTCACGTGGATAAGTCAAATAAAAAGTTTAATTTCTCATTTCTCCGTAAGTATCGGAGGGAGGCTGTCCGAAGGTGATTGAGGGAGGATAAACGAAAACCTCCCCTAGCCCATCCAATCCCCAATCGAATACCTTATATCCACCCCTTCACTTCTGTCCTCTGGCATGAGAGAGCGAAGCAATTTAGGGCGGTGCCAATAACGACGGCCGCCGGCCTTTCAGGGGTTACCAGTATCATACCCCATGCGTCGAGCGACCGAGATATGCGAAAAGCAACTATACCGTGTAGTACTCGTACCGGTATGGTACCGCTCCCCACCCCTTCTCCTCCGTTGGATGGGTTTATCACCCCCGAAAAGGGGTAGGTATAAGAAGGGGGTGTTGGGTTTGTTCTCTGGTCGATCGATAGGGCATCTACCGGTGGTTTGTGAGATGTGAAATCACCACGAAAATTTCAATTTACGCCCTCGATGGCCTGTTGCATGTGATTCGTGGATCGCGACGTCGAAATTTACGGCTCTGGTACCGTAAGTATGATAGCTTGGAAGTAAAGGATGATAACCCTTTGCAGTCTCTGCTATGAAGTCTCCCGGCAAATACTATTGCGCCGCTGTGCCTATGGCGTGACTCTTACCTACGGTTATTCATTCCTTTCACATTGGAGTGAGTTCAAGTACCAGTGTTTGAGTACGAGTAATCGGTAGGGCTGGGTATTGTAGCGCTTGAGGCGAGAATGAAGAAAGCGCACAGGAATAGGGCATTTGCGGGAGGGCTGTACGGTACTTATTATGGGAGTGAACACTGTTAAATGCCCAAGGTGCTGGGTGTGGTAGGCGCCACGGCTAACCCTGTGAGGAACGTCCTCACGGGTCACTCATGTTCGGTTGTATGATACGAGTAGGCACAGGTAGACTACTTGTCACACCGCTGCTCCTGTGAGTGATCTAAAATAATCAATCGAGGAACATGCAAGTCAGCTATGATATGGTACTCATCAAAAGCCTCTTCTTACTGCGGTATTGCCTTTTTATGTTTGAACAATAGCCTGAAGAATCGGATGGTGCCAAAAACACGGTGGGGAAGGAAATGTGTTGGCAGATGCGGTCAACCAGACTATGTTGAAGTTTGCGACCGCGATGGGTCCGATATTCGATGTTCGTGCGCAAGCCACTCTGTGGCCACGGGGATCACACACTTCCCCCCCATCGCTTTTGGCACCATTCATTCTTTGTATGTTGGTCTATAAAGCGTTCACATAACTCGGTCTACCGTGGTGGATGTTACGAGTGTTGTAAGGACAGGGACGGACATACTCTTGTCGGATAGCTCTGTGCCGGTACTCGAGTACCGTACTCGTGACAAAAAGCGTGCCAGTTCTTGGCGCGGAGGCATGAGTACAGGTATCTCGGCGTTGAGCCACGATAAGAGAGAGGGATGCGGGGAAAGGACGGGAGGGAGACGCAATTCCTCGTTACCATAAGATCTACTCTAGCAGGGTAGGAGAGGAGGGAAAGTGCTATTAGGGCGCTCTAGAATTCCTGTGTGCCGAACTGATATCGAGGAGAGTGAGCGGGGGGAAGACCCTGTGAGAGACCCTATGAGAGACCCTTTGGGAGACCCTGTGGGAGACCCTGGAGAGGGGTGACGCTGCGGTGCGGTGAGACGCCGCTCACTCCACGGTACCGTACTACTGTACTCGTAGGAAAGTTTCCCCATGTCTGTGCTGCATGCAAATCACTCAGTAACAACGCCTTACTGATATTGGATAGGGATAGCAATTTCGGGGGCTCGATGGGGTTCCGATATTGCGCGATGCGATAAACCACCCGGGATTGGAAAAACACTGTTGAAACCCCTGCCAACATTTCTGTATTTGCTCGTTCTGTGATTAAACGGGTTAGAGCTGGGGAAAGAGACGAGGAAGAAGAAAAAAAGCAAAAAAAAAAAAAAAGACAGACTGGCTTCCGGCCTGTCATATTGGGCTCAACTTGATTGGGCTGACCCTGAGAGAGCATTCTCGATGTTTCAACAGATCCCCCGGGCTCCTATCATAATATTATCATCATACCAAAATTCGAGAACTACATACATGAGTGGGGGATTGTAAAATTGAGCGACAATACCGGTACTGTACCAGTATTCAACACAGGGCGTGTTCAACCAATCATATCCTATTATGGGGTCGGGTTGGATACGAGCGATATTTGGATGCGATTGAATCTATTACGGGTATTGTTCCAAAGTCGGATTCTGATCTTTGAAGAGGAATTCTCTGCAGCACGGATGAATCCAAATCGCCGGTCCATTGTGTGGTTTGCTGGCCCAGTTCAGCGAAGCGGCTCGCAATGCATGTCTACCTTCGGTCAGGGCCCCTACCGGCATGCCGAGACTGCACTTGGAAGCCATCCCAGCAGCCAGGGCTCTGCCCATCGCGACGTCGAAGGAAATTCGCGCAATCCCATTGGTTTTCTTGGCCCCCTGCTGGGGTTTTTTTTTCAAGCTTAGCTCTACCGGTACTCGAGCACCGGGAGTCGAGTAGCTCGCAGTGAAATGTGTCCACTTGTACAAGTACTCTATGGCCGCTTGACTGGAAATAAATCTCCTTGCAGTAGACTAGCGCAAGCAATTGCTGAATAGAATGTCCGTCTGCCGTATCCGAACGACAACTCAGACTTGCTGTCGGGTGGAGGGTTCTCCGAATTCCTGCCTGCGCTGGACCAGGGGCTGTATTGGGGACACGGTGCCTTTTATCTCTTGGGAAGGTAGCTGCAGAAGATGGCTCGAGGTGGCGGTGGTATCTCAGTACGCCAGGGCAGGAGGCCGTGCTGTAAGCCAGATTGGTGGATTAGTAGCGTTGGTGGGGTGTTTGCCCCCCACCTCTCCAGGCCTACTTAAGAGGCGTCCCCCGCCATCGATAGCAACCCTCGTTACCTGAACCTATTCTCCTCACACGCTCGCACTCGCACTCGCAACTGCAAACATTTTCTCGCACACGGCTTTATCCAAACCCAACAACCCCACTAGACCGCCACTCGACGAGTGTGGTCTACGAAGTCGTCAAGACGTTCGCTACACTTCTTAACTCGTAAGCTATTTCTATATTCGCTTCTGTGTTTGTCGACGTGGTCTGGCACACATGCTTCCTCCTGCCAATATAGCAATTGCTACTTCCCCGATTCCGCTCTATCGTAGCTTCCAGCGTCCATCGTAGATGTCGTGGGGACGCTACTAGTGCTTGCCCGAACTTCCTCAGTAAATTCGTCTGTCCCTACCAACATGCGCGGACGTGCCCACCATGCACTACGTATAGGCTTGCGTATGATATAAACATACGTACCTGGGGGCACATATTATTCTGGATTGTTTCCCTTCCTCCCCCTCTTTACCCTCTTCCCCTACCCTACCCTACCCTTCCCTTCCCTTCCGTTCTCTCCCGTTCTCCCCCCTCCCCTCCTCCCCCCTCCTCGCTCCTCCCCCCCATTCCCTCTCCCTTCTTCCCTCTCCCTTCCTCTCCCTTCCCCTCCTCCCATTCCTTCCCTGCTCCCATCTGCACCTCTCTCTTTCATCACAACTTTTTCGCAATTCCTCAATTGCTTTTACTGTTTGATCCCGTGCCCTGCTTCCTTCATTTTTCTTCCCCTTAATTTTCTTGCACTCCTCCGCTACCCTACGTTCTTTCATAAGTTCACCTTCACCCTGCTTACCACTTTTTCCCAATGTCAGAGTTCACCACCCCCACCAAGGAGGCAAACGTTCTTCCCCCGCAGGAGGCGCCTCCGATTTACCCTACACCTCATAATCACGGTCTTTCTGCAACTACCTCTGCATTTGCAAACATTATGGCTCCTCACGCAAACGAAGTTCCTGATGGCCGCGGTGCAAACCCTGCCGCCTCCAACGAATTGTTCACCGTCCGCTCCCCGAATGTCATCTATACCGAAGATGCCATCAAGTCCACTTACACTTATCGTACTACCAAGGTCACGAAGGCTGGCAACAAGTATGTCGCCGAGCCTCTCGACACTGTATACGATTTCAACGTCCAACGCAAGGTTGGCAAAGTGGGACTCATGCTTGTGGGATGGGGTGGTAACAATGGAACCACTGTCACCGCCGGTATTATCGCTAATCGTGATGGTTTGACCTGGGAAACCCGCGAGGGTCCTAGGGGCGCAAACTATTACGGCTCTGTTATCATGGGATCTACTATCAAATTGGGCAACGAGGCCGAAACTGGAAAGGAGATTCATATTCCTTTCCGTGATATCCTCCCGATGGCCCATCCCAATGATCTTGTTCTTGGGGGGTGGGATATCAGTGGCATGAATCTTGCCGATGCTATGGATCGTGCGGCCGTCCTCGAACCTGATCTTAAGCGTCAAGTGAGGAAGGAAATGCAGGACATGGTTCCATTGCCTAGCGTTTTCTACCCTGACTTCATTGCGGCCAATCAGGAGGATCGTGCCGATAACGTTTTGAAGGGTACAAAGGAGGAACATGTCGAGATGATTCGTGGTGACATCCGGTGGGCATAATATAATATACTTTTGAAAAATTATGTCGGAAAATGCTAACCCTTGCTTCTTGCTAGTAAATTCAAGGCGGAGAAGAACCTCGACAAGGTTATCGTTCTTTGGACAGCCAACACCGAACGTTACGCAAAGATCATTCCTGGGGTCAACGACACTGCACAGAATCTTCTTGCCGCCGTCAAGGCTGGCCATGATGAGGTTGCTCCGTCTACTATCTTTGCTATCGCTTGTATCCAGGAAGGTGTCCCCTTCATCAACGGTTCTCCCCAGAACACGTTTGTCACTGGCGCAATTGAGCTCGCCGAGCAACACAAGTCTTTCATCGGTGGTGACGATTTCAAGTCCGGCCAAACAAAGATGAAGTCTGCGTTGGTTGATTTCCTTGTCAATGCCGGTATCAAACTTACCTCAATTGCCTCCTACAACCATCTAGGAAACAACGGTAGGTTTATTTTTACCCTTTCTTTTGAACGTTACTAATTTGTTATAGATGGGAGGAATTTGAGCGAGCAGAAGACTTTCCGAAGCAAGGAGATTAGCAAGAGCAATGTTGTCGATGACATGGTGGAGGCCAACTCCGTCTTGTACAAGAAGGGGGAACACCCTGACCATACTGTAGTCATCAAGTACATGCCTGCCGTTGGGGATTCCAAGCGCGCGTTGGATGAGTACTACGGCGAAATCTTCTTGGGTGGCCACCAGACTATCTCGTAGGTTGCGCCATAAATGTCCCAATGCTTGCAGGAGCGATAAACTTACAGTGATTCGTAGCATGTCCAATGTTTGCGAGGATTCCCTCTTGGCGAGCCCGCTCATTATCGATCTCGCGCTTATCACAGAGCTCATGACTCGTATCACCTGGAAGTCTCATACTTCTAATGGTGTTGGGACTAAGGATTACAAGGGATTCCATAGTGTTCTCAGTATCTTGAGCTATATGCTAAAGGTAATGTATTTCGAATCGCACTTCTCTATTGAACACACAGCTGACCCTTCTTTTTAGGCCCCTTGCACCCCACCTGGAACTCCTGTCATTAATTCTCTCGCCAAACAACGTGCGGCTATGTCCAACATATTCCGTGCCTGCGTTGGGTTGGACCCCGAGTCCGACATGACCTTGGAGCACAAGCTTTTCGCTTAGACATCCGGAAACTCCAATTTAAAGGAGGTGGTTTTCGGTTCTGTGTAGCGTGGCTTGAAGTCGATCTATTGTGTTTGAATTGGTCATCTTTTCTATTGCTTTCGTGCACGATTCTGTTTTCAGGTTTCCGTGTCTTGAGCCATGAGGCCTAGCCGCTCATTTTACAATAAAAACTCGTTCACACGAAGCTATTGCTTCAGTGACCCAAGTTGAGTGAAGTTCTTTAACTGTGCGGGCGCCGCTTCCGCTAGGGGCACGCAAACCAAGAGTAGTCTTCACCTAGCGAAGCTCTACCTACCCCTTGCACAGATGCCACTCAGGAAATTTATGTAGACTATACCCATAAGATGGCCTCACCCGGGTACCTACGGGTGATGGGTATGAGGTGCTTGGGCACGGGAATCAGAAGGAATTGTATGTCGAATTGTTTATGCTCATTTGAGCGCCCGTACCAGATTGGGACTCAGGTTTTCGCGTGTTTGGTAACCGGGTACAGTGCAGTACTTGTGCAATGCTTTCGGCAGCTGAGCCAATTTGCCAGTCAGACAAACGTTGTATCATAACTCGTAAACTGCCGGTGGGTTCGCTGCCGTGGGGATAGCGCCGTAGGTTTGGGAAGAGAGCAGGAATTGCTGGTCTGTATGGGTACGGTAAGCTACATGTTATATATATGGGTCCAACCTCCTCCCCCCCTTTTCCGTCGAGATTCAAAGCTTGCTGTAATGCAAGGAGGCGCCAAACATCATAAATACTCACTCGAAAGTTCTGAACGCAGTTCTGGTGGCCAGTCATTCCTCTGGCAGGGGCCGTCTCTTTTTTTTTTTTTTTTTTTAATTTCATTTAATTTAATTTAATTTTTTCAGGTGCCAACTAGTGAGCTTCTCGTGTGTATGGAGTCTGTCCTCCCGTCTTGGTTGAAGGAGGGAGCAAGATGGTACAAGTACACGTGAGAGGGCTTCCTGATGTATAGTAATACAGATGTACAGTACTATTACGGTATATAAGACCTTGTGACCGGTTTGTCACATATCGGGACGAGAGAAAGCGCATATGTCATACCCCTTCGTTCTTTTTTCGTACCCCGTCTCACAGAACTCTAGCTCGAAAGCTGGAGGGATATTTGACTTGGAAGGGGGGGGGGGGGGTGTATGGCCGAGTAATGACCGGGCCAACGAATATTTTGGCACCGGGGAACTGGGAGAATTAAACTTGGATGGGTGGCGCAATTCTCCTTTTTTAGGTGGAAGGTTGTCTCTAAGTTGGATGGTCTTCCATGATACATGTTTGTGTGAAATTCCTTATGTAACCCCCCGCGTGTTGGTGAAAAAGTGTATGGGGCGGGTTCACCATCGGAAGAACCTTTGGGATGTATGCTGTACTTGTACGAGTACTCTACACCCTTCCTTTCTTTCGGGACAGGTTTTCTTCCTGCTTTGGAGACGGGGTTCCGCGAAATTTGGCGGACGGGTGGAGGGGGGGGGGGTTGCAGGAAAGATGGTGAAAGGGTGAGCAGTTCGTTGTCCCCCCACGCTCAGGCCACTACGGTACGGTACTCGGGTCCGGAATTTTTTTGTAGGACTTGTGGCTTGTATGACGGATAATTGTGGGGGTTTGGTTTTTTGTTTATGTTGCTCGTGATGTGAGGGAAGTAGGGGTGAAGGGGGGAAAAAAAAAAACTCGCACTTTTTAACCTTGTCGTACGACGTGGTGAATAATTCCTAGTGGATACCGTAGATGGTATCAAGTCACCGGTGGTCACTCGGGAGATTGGGTTGGAGTGGGGGGAAAGTAGTTGTTGTTGGTATATAATAAATTTCTAATGATCATGAGGGGGGATATTAGGGGTTGCTATGGTAAAGTGAGTTAATGGACGGCCAACGAGGTATATGGCAAGTATATTGATGGGAACTACAGATTGTCGCTATGATTACGGGCTACAATCTGGTCGATAGCTTATCGCCGTGCTCAAGTACTCCTCTGGATCTGGCGGTTGTTGAAAAAAACAAAACAATAATAGTCATGAGCTGGTTGGTCTTTTTTATCCGCACGGGACTGGAACAAGTGGGCGAAGCGCACAACCTCCCTTGCTCTGATCACCGAACCACGAGCGACACCGGCTTCAATACTCAGAGAGGGTTGTCAAATCCGCAAAGGGAAACCTTCAGAAGACCGCAAGAATGATCCCCCTCCTTATATACTTTAGCCTCCAGCCCCCACGCAATCAAGCGGACAAACATCCCTACAAACCGAGCAAACTTCGATGGCGTGCCCTTCCCGCCCCTCCTTCCATCACCATCCTCTAAAGGAACATTTCAATTTTTAGCCATGTACAGTAAATTCCATCACAAGATCTTATTCGCCTCGTAGGGCCCGGATTCTCGCTGGAAAGCAAACAACCGTGACCAGCAATACTTTCTCCCTCACAGTGCCCTCCGCTAACTCTGACGTAGTTTTTGAGGGCCAATCTTTGAGCGCGGGCTCTCTCTCTCGCGGTCCACTACATCAGAATATCTCGTGCTGGACGGTGGAGAGCATGCGGAACTCCCGTACGCCCTGGTAGAGGCGGTTCAGCAGGAGTACAGACGAACCAGTATCATACGGTACTGCAAAATGTTATCGTCGTATTGAGTGGTCTGACTGTCTTCCGATGGTAGCCGGACTCCGTGCGTGCTTGAGGGCACACGGGAATACGTGGGCTGTTAGTCTGATGTTGTCTATACAAGTAGTATGATACGGTACTCAAGTGGCTGGATTCGTGCTGCGTTTTTTTTGCCTTACAGTATGAACTTATCGTAGGACACTAGGGGAAGAAAAAAGGGGAAAGGAGTAACACCAACCTAGCTATTTGAGTAGAGGAGAGAAGTCGCTCGGTGGTCCACGAGGGAAGGGGGAGGAAAAGAAAAGAAAAGAAACAGATGGTCTCCTGCGCAGTTTTTTTTTTTTTTTTTCTTAAGCCCCTACCCTGCAAGGTAACTGTGATTGGTGATATTTCGATTTACCGGTACCGGCACACCGGACCAGCGAAATATGAGAATTTAGAGTTATCGGGTTATCACCGCTGCGACATAATTGGTGCTCATCGGATGTGGGGAGGAGTCTACTGTAAGTCACTCGTATCACTACAAGTACCATACCGCAATGGGACACCCTCCCTTGTGTGTTATGCTAAGTTGGATGATTGAAGATTGTTTTTACCCTCGCGTGACACCTTGCGCGAATGATATACTGTACTGCGAGTACTGTAGTAGTACAGTACGGGGGACTACTACTCGAGTACAGTACTCTACAGCGCTATAGTTATTAGTGCAGGGGCCCAACGGGTACAGTACAGTACAGTACAGTACTCGGGATAGTGCCCATCCCGACTGCAGGTGACTTGCGGGGCGGTGGGTGTACGAGTACTGTACAAGCACTGTCAGGCACGTTTCGCAAGGCATTGGTTGGTTAGTTGGTTAGAGTCGGCCGGGTGCGGTAATTTAGTTGTCACGGTTTGTGGGACTTTTTTGTTTTTCAAAAAATAAGGATGCTAGCACCCGGCATCCGGACCATCCTCACGTCTGCAGGGTTCTACCGATTGTTCGGGGCCATTGGCTGCGCTGCTGCCTCGTGATGGTGCTAACCACTCGGTTCGGTGACATATTTGATTCTGGCCTGCGCTGTACAAGTATGATATGATACTGTACGGTCCATCCTACACAGCGGAGGGGAAAGATATGAGAAGATGGGTTTTCGTGGGTTTGCAGCATGGCCAGAAGTCATCCAACTGCATCTATTATTTTTTTCGCCCGGTGAAACATTAGCTATCGGGATGAGCGTATCGGGATTCGGGAAGAATAATTGTAGTTTTGGGGGTTGTAATTTACGAACATCTGGAATTGGAAAAAAAATTCGGGATATAATTCAAGTATAAATACAGTGCTAGTACTAATACTGGTACATTTTTATGTGGGCCGTGTGTAAATCGACCTCTGCCAGGCGCTTGAACTGAATTTCCAGGCCCTCCAGCACAGGTGAGATTCCATAGCAGGAGGAGATTCTTAGTCCCATCGGCGGTGCGTGTAGGTGGTAGAATATTGATCCCTAAATTTTTAACCACTTGGAATAATCTAGTTGGTCCAAATTCGTGAGGGGTTTAGCAAAGTGAACCTGGATTACTTATATCCGGAAAATTCCTCCACCATTTTGATGTGGTTTTGCGTGCTCCGATCAGGTACAGTACAGTACTGTGCTGCAGATTCAACGACTGGGGATGAATTACGTCCGAGAACTACAGAAAGAGAACCACGGCCTGGATTACCGTAGGACCTTACCATCGGAGTATTCCCATTTTTTTTTTGAGGAGGGGCGGGGGTAGAGGAGAATGAGTCAAAGCTTTTACCACATCTATTGTACGATACTCGAGCATTTGCTAATAGTATTATGTCGGCTCTTGCGCGGGATCTTTCGTGGGAGATTCAGTGCAAGTTACGGTACTTCTGCTATCATACGGGACATGGGTTTTTCATGCCATGCCAATGATATGCACACTATGACATCCCTCTCCCCCACACGTATGATAGGAAGAGAAATTCTGACAAAGGTGGACCCTGCAGCCCCTTCGCTGCTGTGTCACATACGAATGGCACTTCCTTCCAGATGACTAGAAAAAAAAAAGAAAAAAAAACAAAGGAAACGAAACCCGATTTTCAAGTGTTTATCATCTAATTCGAAAAAGCCATCATTGCTGGAATTTCTCGAAGAATTGTTTTTTTCTTCTTCTTTCCCCCCCCCCTCCCGGATGGAATTTCCCACGGCCCACCTTTCCTTCTCCTATTTGTAGCTCTGGGCTGAGTGGACTTTACCTCTCTCAGTTGGGGGGCTAACCTGAACCCCTACCGTGGCGTCGGGAGAGGGGAAAAGGTTGAGGAGGCTGGAGAGCCGGCAGACAGACCACCCTTTGGAAATTGATGATGCCCCCGACTCTCTATCCCGCCCGTGGTGCAATCATGAGATCGATCGGCCGATTAACGCAGCTTCTTAAAATATTCCGGGTGGTTGGGATAAAGGAGAGGTCCCCCCTTAGCGACCCTCCACATCCCCCTGATTTACTTGTATGTGTGAGATAGAGTCCCGGATGGGGCTGACGTCGCTGCCACCGGCTTACCTCCCGACGAGCCGTGGCCGAGAACATGGTAATCACCGTGAGCCCGGAAATGAACCAAAAGTGATCAAGTTTTACTCGTACTGCCCCCATCCCGACTGTTGCCCCCTAGTAGTTTTACATATGGAAAGGCTGCCAAAGTTCCCTTATGAGCGGGCGCATGCTATCTGCTCTATAAACTATCGCCAGACGCCCGATCCAGGGGTTCCTGGAAACCTAACGTTAGACTGGCCAAGAGTCACTGCAGCTGGAGTAACACCGGGATCCCCTCAAATCTTGATAGTACCGAATTTCCCCACAAGACGCTAAAGACAAGCCAGCCAGATAGGTGGATTCTCTTTTTATTGGCGGAGCCAACCTCATAGATGAATGATACGAGCATAAGACTCTAAATCTGGCTAGTGCATGTCGGCACGCGAATTACCTCGTCGTGAATGGTGATCAGATCGCAGATTAAGCATGGAAAACTTCAAGGGAGACCATGACAGAATACACAGTTCATAACAAGCGAAAGGCAGATCCCGTAATGCCACCAATTTATTCGAGCCTATGAGGTGAGGAGGGAGAGTTTGCCGTGATAAATTTCACTGGCTGGGTTGAAGGAAGGGTGGAAGAAGTGCATACTCATAATTCAACCTAGACGCATCTGATATCACTCGATTACCCATTGC